TTATTACCTACTGTTTCAAAGGCTTTTGGTCACCAATTTTGGGACTATGGAAAGTCACGAAGCTTTAAAGGAAGTGACACTTGGAATTAGTCAAAAGGTAGGGAAAAATTATCTGTGGAAAGAGTGATGAAACTAGAATTTGGGGTCAACAGTCGATGGAACATTACTTTAAAGGAGACCATTGATGGAAAGAACTCATAATAAAGAATACGCAAGCAGATTCATCAAACTTTTGCCTTTTGCCAACTACCACATATCTCTTTATTTTATGCTTTTACGTCCACCAACTCAGTTCTTCTATTTACTACTATAACAGTAATTTGCACCAATAAAATTGAAATACACGAATTGAGGATATGAGTGTAAGTCTGATGATATTTCTAATTAGTGAACTGGCAGTCAAGCTGATAGGGCATTCCTGGAAGCTATTAGGAAGATTGACACACCAAGCATTTAACAACAACATAATCTTAAGGCCTGAACAAAGGATTGTGTGTTAAATGCTACAAAATAGGGATATATTATCCCAACTCATCTGGTGGCACATGCAATATTAAAGATATTCTAGTGCATTAGATTTGGTTTCGTGCATACTCCATTAACCACCAATTCTAAGCTTTGAATCTAACTCAATTAATCATCAGAAATCTTGTTCCTTCATCTCATTTGCAGAGATGAATAAGTTCCAAACATTTTATTGCTACAGTTCAAAACGTACATAGCTTAACTTGGAGACGAATTCAGCTGCAATAGTTACGGCAATATACTTCATTTTTTGCAAGAAAATGCAAATTCAGTTAACAGATTTGGCATTGAATATTCTCTATTTATATGTGCCCGAGATATATGTATGGTACGGCAGAAGAGAAGTATAAAATAAAGAAACAAGAGACTAACAGTAGGGCATGAATGCAAAATTTAACTAAAAATCCAAATATATTTTATTAAATTAGTTTTGTATTTTAAATGAAAATAAGGACAAGTGACAAAGGGTCAGTATATCTGAACACACACTCCTGAACTCTGAAATAGTACTCAACATACACAGTTCTGAAAATACATATAGGGTGACTACTAGGCATTCTACCAATAAACCAAAGTTAGTTGTATAAATGTTTTTTTTAAAAAATCTTGAAATACATAAGCTTTAACTATGCATAATATTTCTTATAAATTATTATCAAAGGCATATCCCATAAATCATCTTAAAGACGTTCCAATGCAGTTAATCCTCTGATTAATGGAATTAGGGAATAAACACTATCTTAGTCTCAGGATCAAATTAGTAACATCTAACTTCCAGAGTTGGTGGTGGGCAATATGGAATCATGAAGGGCGTATGACAGTGGGAAAGTACACTGGAGACAGGCAGTGATTCAACAATTTTCAGCACAAAGTCCAACAAGATCAGGATGGGCAGGAATATCAGTACTGATAATATTCTCAGAAGAACCAAAACCGTTATGTACCTTTCTCCCTGGAAGCAATTTGCTATTAAGCTGTTCTCAGAATGACTTTTATAATTCAAAACATCTATAATTGCTATAAATGATGTCTATTTACATGTGTGTATACAAGAAACACAACACGGGAAGAACTGTAAATGAGGGTAACTTAATGCAATTATATACTCCATATGAAATTATCAATTATGTACAACGCTCAATATATCAACCAATTTTTTAGGCATGGCATAAATGGCGAAGAATTCTGACTCTATATTATTTTCTAATTACGTTCAGATTTTATAGAGGGTATTACAAAACATTACTACTTGATGTAATAACTAACCTGTTCCTTAACAGTAGTATGTCCGCTTTGTCAGGTAATGTGACATCATCTGGACAAATACCCTCATCTGTTTCTTTTAACGGTAACGTCCTCCTTGAAAAATTCACATGAACATTTTTAAATATTGAAAAAAACTCATTAGTAATTTCTTTAAATGTTACATTACACCAAACAGTTATGCTTTTATATAATATATATGTATAGTATATATACCATATCCGACAGCCCCGCGCCCCCCCACGAGAGAGAGAGAAGAGAAGAGAAAGAGCGCGAGACTCACAAACATACTTACTGGTGCACTTCTATTGTATCACTTTCTTCTTCATACTAATTCCGAGGAAAAACAAACAACAAAAAACATTTTTCTAAATAAATCTCAGCACTTTAACACTATCAGGGTGACTTAAGATGATATATCTCAGGTGGTCTGGTCCATAGAATGACAAAACTTATAATGGCGCTATCTTTAATAAAGCCACTAGCTAGAACTTAAAGAAGTTAACAGAATTCATGTGCCATGCTCACTTTATCTCATCTGAAGGGTGGCTAACTCACAAATGAAGAAGGCAATTAATAAAAAAGGACTGGCAGCATTCCATTTTGTTTGAAGGAACTGGTGTACTTTTTAAGAACTCACGTGGCAAATCAGTTCTGGGTTCCTCACTAAAGTTAAATGTCTGACAATGAATTATATTTCTTTTCTAAATATTTACAAGTCTTATTTTACTCTTTTTTTTTTTTATTCAGTCCCGTAGGGACTGTCAAAAATCTGCCAATGCCAAGCATCGATTACGATTCTCACATATGGGGTATTGGCGAACAGATTCAATAGCAATCAATCACGCCTTGGATAACCTCATTGGTATGATACTGCAACACACAAAGCTATCAGTTTATTTCAATCAGAACCAATAGATTTCACTAAAGATCAATCACATGACTTATTTTCAGTTAAAACCCTATGGCCCACCTATGTACTCCATGCCAAGCATATAGTAACTATCAATACTATCGGTAATAATATAAAAGTTAAATTAAACAGGTTTAACTGTGGAGATACCACATGTGGGGAAACACTTCAACCAGTCTTACACTAATACATCTATATCACCATTTTCTCTATCAAAGTTATTGCCTTTTCCCGCCATTTTTAATTTTAAACTTTTAACAAGTAGGTCGCGCAACCATCATATTATGCACCTTCCTACTATTCATGCTTATTTTTTAACTAAACTTCTTCCAAGGTAAAAAGTAACAACTTTCTATTTTCATTTTAATTTTTTTGAGCAGAGTCTCACTTGTTTGCCCAGGCTAACGAGTGAGCGTGCCGTGGCGTCGCCTAGCTCACAGCAACCTCCAAACATCCTGGGCTCAAGCAATTTGCTGCCTCAGCCTCCCAAGTAGCGGGACTACAGGCATGTGCCCCATGGCCAGCTAATTTTTTTATGTATTTAGTTGGCCTTTTAAAAGTCCTATTCATTTTTTGGGGGTGCATTTCAAATGTTAGGCTTTTCTCAAAGATGTTTCAAGCCCTGCAGACCAGATAGAGCTTCCTCTACATGCCCATAACACTTTGTACATGCCTTTGTTACTTATCAGATTGCATTATAACTACTTGTTTTTAGATGTCCTTCCCACTTGAATTTAATTCTTGAAGAGATCTTGCCTCATTTTTTTATATCCATAGCATCTAATATACTGCTGCTGATCAATAAATGTTTGTCAAATCAATGTTATGAATAAAAGCTTAACTGAAAGTATATAAACTTTACTATATGGAATTTGAAAACTGTTTTGGCTACTCCAGGTTTCTCAATTATGTTCTGGGTAAGTTTTTAGTATGTGAGCACAAAATTCTTTATTGCTAAAAATAAGCTACAGATCATGTCTTTTTTTTTTTTTTTTTTTTTTTGAGACAGGGTCTCACTCTTTTGCCAGGGCTAGGGCTAGAGTGCAGTGGCATCATATAGCTCACTGCAACCTCAAACTCCTGGACTCAAGAGATCCTTCCACCTCAACCTTCCAAAGTGGTGGGATTACAGGCATGAGACACCATACCTGGCCATGTCAAGATTTGTGTATGTTTATTTAGAACCTGACATGCAGTGATATATTAGTATGGATATATACATGCTGATGTTGTATTTTTCTTCAAGAATAACTTTAAATTAAAAATAAACTCAGAAAGAAGGGACCAAATACTACTTGTTTTTCCATGACCTCAGGTTCAGGTAAGGCAACTAGGGTGTGAAGAGTAACTTAACACTAGGTCAGGCTGGTTTGATTATTTTCCTGCAAACATCCTGTACTGCCCCAGACTTTTACAGAACAATTTCAAACATTTTCCTAATATTCAGAAATCACATTAATACTCACAAAATATAAAAACCCATGTGACACAAAAGTATACAATAAAAAGTTCTTCTCAAATTACCTGAATATTGATATTACCAACAAATAAGGGGAAGAGGGAGTAAATATTATTGAGTACCTATGATGTACCATGTTTCCCCGAAAATAAGACAGGGTCTTATATTTATTTCTCCTCAAGAAGACATCCTAGGACTTATTTTCAGGGGATGTGTTATTTTCCCCTCAAAGCCTCAGCTTGCAGCACACACAGGATGGCCGGGACCTGACAGGGGGAGCCGACCTTGTTGGTGGGGCTGCCCACACCTTTCCGGTCACCTCTGTGATAGTAGCTGTCACGATGGGGCAGATGAGAAGGGCTGCTTGTCTTCTTTACCACTACGCCACAAAATGCATGGGTTGTGCAGATATGCTGCTTAGCCACGCCTACCACTAGGTTTTATTTTGGGGGTAGGGCTTATATTGTGAAAATGCTTAGAAATCCTGCTAGGGCTTATTTTATGGGTAGATCTTATTTTTTGGGAAACACAGTATGTCCAGGTACTGTACTGATCACTTTGCTTAATTTTAATTAATTCTGACAGTTTTATAAGATAGCTACAAATTAGAAAAACAGGCTCAGGGCTAGTGAGAAGCAGAGAACTGACTTGAAAGCCTATGCTCTGTGATGTCACATTTTGTTTACAATGTGATAAATAATGAACAAAAGTATGCTAGAACATATATGGGTACTTCACATTTTAAGGTTAAAATATAATGCAGTGCAAAAAGGAACACTATTGTTACTTAAATTTTATGGTAGACACACAAATTTAAGAAAAAGATGGCAATAAAATTACCTGCACTATTATTATCATCATCCTGTTCAATGAAGACATGATCCAAAATAAAGCTGAGCAACTCAGACTGCAACGAAGAATCAGGGGTGTAAACTAAAGGCTCTAACATGTCACGCCCTCCTGACATAATCTGATGGCTGAAGATCATCAAAATATCACATAGGATAGTGAAGGCCTATTATTAACGGAAAAAAGAAAAACATGCTATAATCTGAAGTTTTTTTCCAACAGACACAAATAACATATATATATATAATATTTTCTTAAAACTTTAAATTTGAGAAGTATAATTTCTGTAACAATTACCAATATTTGCATAATGCTTTACTAACTGCAAAGCAATTTCACAAATATTCTTCCTTATTTTTAGCAATGTTAAGTTACTTGTACAGTTTGTTAACACTGCCATGTAGTTATGACTCAAACTCAAGTTTTGACTTAAAATACCATACTCTGCACTATACCACAATGCTTCAATGTATTCATTCTCAAATATGAAATAATGTATAAACTTAGAACCATTCTTTATTCTATGGAAGAAGAAAAACATCAAGGAGATGAGTATAACAATAGAGGTCACAAAGCCTATGGTGCTTTTTAAGCACTCTCATTGTTAACATGCATACTGATTAAGTCAAGAAAACATAACCAGGTACAGGCCTGCTTGCTACTCATCAGGTAAACCTGAAGTATAAAAAACATAAACTTGAAGTTATCTCAAAAAATTTAGTAAAAACTCTACCAAGAGCTTTAAATGGAGTCAACCACTGGTAAAAATTAGTCAAAAGGTAAGCGGGAAAAAATTATCTGTTGAGAAAGAGTGATGAAATAGAATTTTGGGGTCACAAAGTCAATTGGAACATATATTTAAAGGAAGACCATTGATGGAAAGACATATAATATAGATCGCAAAGCAGATCTCATCAACACTTTTGCCTTTTGGCAACTAACCACATTATCTCTTTATTTTATGCTTTTACTCCACCAATCAGTCTCTTCTATTTTACTACTATAATAGTAATTTGCACCCATTAAAATTAGTAACATACAGAATTGAGGATATGAAGTGTTAAGTATGATGATATTTACTAATTAGGTGAACTGGCAGGTCAAGCTGATTAGGGCATATTCCTGGAAGCTATTAGGAAGATTGACACACAAGCTATTTAACAACCAAATAATCTTAAGGCCTGAACAAACGATTGTGTGTTAATGCTACAAAAATAGGGAATATTATGCCAACTATCCTGGTGGCACATGCAAATATAAAGTAATATTCTGTGCATTAGATTTGGTTCTGTGCATACTCCATTAAAACCCAATTCTAAGCATTTGAATCTAAACTCAATTTACAATCATCAGAAATCTTGTTCCTTTCATCTCAATTCGCAGAGATGAAAATTAAAGTTCCAAACATTTTATTGCTACAGTTCAAAACTACATACTTAAAATTGGAGAGAATTCAGCAATGCAATAGTTACGGCAATATACTTCATATTTTTGCAAGAAAATGCAAAATTCAGTTAACAGCATCTTGGCCATTGAATATCCTCTAATTTATATGTGCCCAAGCATATATGTATGGTACGGACAAGAGAGAATATAAAATAAGAAACAAGAGACTAACAGTAGGGCATTGAATGCAAAATTTTAACTATAAAAATCCAAATATATTTTATTAAAATTAGTTTTGCTATTTTAAAATGAAATAAGGACAAGTGACAAAAGGGTCAGTATATCTGAACAACACTCTGAACTAAAATAGTACTCAACATACCACAGCTTCTGAAAATAGCACTTAGGGTGACTACTAGAATTCTACCCCAATAAACAAAGGTTAAGTTGTATAAAATGTTTTTTTTAAAAAAATCTTGAAATCACCATAAGCATTTTAACTATGCCATAATATTTCTTATAAAATTATTATCAAAACATACTCCCATAAAATCATTTAAAAAGCACGTTTCCAATGCAGTTTATCCTCTTGAATTATGGAATTAGAACTAAACACTATCTTAGTCTCAGGATCAAACTAGGTAACAGTCTACTTCCAGAGTTGAGATGGTTGGCAATAATGGAATCATGAAGGCATATGAAGTGGGAAGGTAACACTTGGAAGACAGGCAAGTGATTAAAATTTTTATTTCAGACAAAGTCCACACAAAGATCAGGATGGGCAGGAATATCAGTACCTGATAATATTCTCAGAGATGACAAAACCTTATGTACCTTTCCTCCTGGAAGCAAATTTGCTATATTAAGCTGTTCTCAGGAATGACTTTTATAATTTCAAACATCTATAATTTGTATAAATGTGTCTATTTACCATGTGTGTCATAAAGAAACAACAACACAGAAGAACTGTAACATGAGGGTAACCTTTAATGCAATTATAAACTCCATATGAAATTAATCAATTATGTACAAGCTCAATATATTAACATATTTTTTAGCATGGCATATACATGGACAGATACAAGATATTTCTCATTTGCTCACTCTTAGTATTATTTAAATTTTCTAATTAGTTCAGATTTTATGAGGGTTACTTACAAAAACATTACTATCTATAGTAATTACTAACCTGTTCCTTAACAGTAGTATTCACGTTGGTCAGGTAATGCTGACATATCTGACAAAATACCCTCATCTGTTTCTTTAAACGGAGTAAGTCCTCCTTGAAAAAATTTCACATGAACATTTTTAAATATTGAAAAAAAACTCATTTAGTATTTCTTTAAAATGCTTTAAATTACACAAAACGTTATCTTTTATATATATATATATATATAGATAGAGAGAGAGAGAGAGAGAGAGAGAGAGAGAAAGAGCGAGCACACTCACTAAACTTTACTTGTGCATTTGATTTATATTTCTTCTTATATAATTTACCAGAAAGGAAAACAAACAAAAAAAAAGAAACATTTTTCTAATAAATCTCAGCCTTAAAACTATCAGGTGTATTAATGGATAATATCCTAGGTGGTCTGGGTCCCATAGAATGAAAAAACTTATATATGGCTATCTTTAATAAAGCCACTAGCTCAGAACTTAAAGAGTAAAGATTTATGCTCCATGCTCACTTTATTATCTGAAGGGTGGCTAACTCACAAATGAAAGAAAGCAATTAATAAAAAAGGGATGGCAGCTTCCATTTGTTGTTTGAAGGACACTGGTTGTACTTTTTAAAAACTCACAGTGGCAAAAATCAGTTCTGTGATATCACTCTAAAGTTTAAAATGTCTCTGAAATTTATAATTTCTTTTTCTAAATATTTACAAGTTTATTTACTTTTTTTTTTTTTATTCAGTCCCCGTAGGGACTGTCAAAAATTGCCAATGCCAACTAGATTGCGATTCATCATAATGGGGTATTGGGAAAAGTTTTCAATTAGCAATAATCACGCCTTGGATAGACCTCATTGGTTATGATACTGCCAACACACAAAGCTATCAGTTTATTTAAAATAGAAAATAATTCTATAAAGATCAATCACATGAACTTATTTTAAGTTATAACCTTTGGCCCACCTTATGATACTGGATGCCAAATGATAGACTATCAATACATATCTGGTATAAGTAATAAAAAAGTTAAATTAAAATCAGGTTTAACTTGGAGATAACATTGGGTGAAAACTCAACCAAGCTTTACATAAATAATCTATTCACCATTTTCCTCTACTAAAAGTTTTGCCTTTTCCCCCATTTTAATTTCTAACTTTTAACATAGGTGAGCAACCATATATGTTAGTATGGTCACTGCTCCTACTATATTTTTTAAATAAACTTCTTCCTAAGTGTAAAAAAGTACACAATTTTTATTTTATTTTATTTTTTGAGACAGAGTCTCACTTTGTTGCCCAGGCTAGAGTGAGTGCCGTGGCGTCAGCCTAGCTCACAGCAACCTCAAACTCCTGGGCTCAAGCAATCTTGCTGCCTCAGCCTCCCAAGTAGCTGGGACTACAGGCATGTGCCACCATGGCCAGCTAATTTTTTCTATGTATATTAGTTGGCCAATTAATTTATTTTTATTTATAGTAGAGACGAGGTCTCGCTCTTGCTCATGCTGGTTTCAAACTCCTGACTTTGAACGATCCACCTGCCTTGGCCTCCCAGAGTGCTAGGATTACAGGCATGAGCCACCGTGCCCGGCCAAAAGTACATGATTTTAACAATACTATATAAATTTTGAGAGGAAAAAACCATTTATAGATATAACAAAACCTTAAAAGCACAGAGAAATTCTAAGCATTTAATGTTATTCTATAGGTTTAGGCAACATAAATGTATTATCAAGGGGATTCTCTTTTGAAGAAAATATCTATGAATAACTAAAATTGTAACTATCAGAAACTGCTTAATATTTATAAAAATGAGCCCAAATAACATTTAAGGCAACATCTACTACTATAAGTACAATGTTTAAGCTTCTAATTTATAAATGGAAAAGGCAATCCTGTTTAGTTCAATTACTAAACACATGAAGGATTACCATTGTGAGAAAAGCTTTAAAAGTTTTGGTACTAGTAAGCTGACACATATACTCAATCAGAAAATATATTCATCAGAAAATGACTTATCGTGAATTTGGGACATGACTAGAGAGATCTTGAATAAGAATAAAGTGGTCCCAAAACAATACCAAGGCATAAGATGATCTAGGGGCAGGGAGCTTATTACCTACTGTTTCAAAGGCTTTTGGTCACCAATTTTGGGACTATGGAAAGTCACGAATTATGCCACCCACTAATGAAAACAACTTTTAATTAAAAAATTGTACTTTGAAACAAACCATTCTTCCACTGAATATACATCAAACTACAAACAGGACTATTTTTTAAAGGTACATGTTAATAAATAATAAATTAGAACCAAGCAACACTTCATTTAAATAACTGGTCTTGCTAAATGTATAAGTTTGCTGAAAACTACTAAATTTTATATATTATATATGTATTATAATATATAATTTATATATTATATATAATATATTATATATATTAATCTAATAAAAACACTACTAAACGACCACAAACCTTTGTAGAGCTGCTTTCAGTTATCTTAGCAAGTTGCCAAAGGATTACATAGTGAGTACACTGCAGTGCATGAATAACAATCTGTAAAAAGAACCAAAAGAAGACAGTTAAAATTGAAAAGTCATAAGACTTTGTTTCTCAAAGTTAAATATGTAACTTGTAAATAAATAAAAACCTGTTCAGGCATGTCTCCATTTTCAATTCCGGTTTTCAGAAGTTTGTAATTACAAGCAAACAAGTCCCACTTTGAAAGATCATGGGCACTGTATAAAAGAGAATTAAATTATATTAAAAAGCAGGCCCTAAATCACAACTGTTTTGAACTTCAGTGTTAAATATAATGAACTTTTTAACATGCTCCCACAACAAAAGATAAATGTGTATTAGAATCTGTTAACATTGTAAGCCATAAAACATGCAAGTTGATTTTCATATTTGTACACTTTCAAGAAATCAGAAACTTTAAGATTCAACTTACTTATGAAAAGCAGTAATCCTCTTCAACGTTGACAATACCTGATACGCATCATCTTCATCAGGTTCTTCGCCCTATGGATATTAATTATACATTAGGAACCAACAAAATAAAAACTCCTAAGGATATCAAAATAGTGATACTACCTTGAAAAATAAAGAATATATGCCTGTAATCCCAGAACTTGGGGAGGCCAGGGAGGGAGAATTTCAAGACTAGCCTGGGCAACATAGTGAGACCCTGTCCCTACAAAATTTAAAATTTAAAAATTAGCTGGGCATGGTGGCATGTGCCTGTAATGCCAGATACTCAGGAGGCTGAGGCAGGAAGATCGCTTGAGTTCGAGGCTATAGTGAGCTATGATCACACCACTGCACTTCAGCCTGGGCAGTAGAACAAAACTCTGACTCTTAAGATAATAATAGTAATAATAATAATAATACAAAACCTACAAATTAACTCTGTCATTCAATACCAAAGATGTGGTAAAATTTATGGCAATATGGCTGGGATAATGAGTCAACTCAATGTTGTTATCACAGGAACATTATTACCGAGACAGAAAAATGGAATGACATTTTTTTCTCTTTTTAAGTAAACCCTGACACAGAACTCTAAATATGCCAACTATTTCACAGTAATAAATGCACGAGAACAGTAAGGAAAAATACAGTAGATGACAAGCAAGAGATTATAAAGACAACACCTAAAGGACAAAACCTATGCCAAACCCTACACATATCTTCAGAAAGATATGAGACTAATCACAAGTAAATGGGGAAAAACCCCTCTGAATAATGACTAGATATGCTAGTCCTTTTTGAACTAATACGTATCAATGTGTCTTAATATAGCTTCCAGTTAAGGGTAAGTCAGGTTTTGAAAAATGTTATAAAATCTTACTATGTGAAGCATAAAACTGTTTAAGCACTACTGAAACTACCCTGTTGAACACCAGGTCTCTCAAAAGAAAAGCATACTTGTTTTTAAACTTTAATTCTTCTACAAAGTAATTAAACTTAATTAACAAACCATTGCTTGATTTTAAAATAACTTGTCCTAATCATAATCATATTCAGGCAAGAGTAGAGCCATTAAAATTTTAATGGAGAATATGATCATTGTACATCGATGTATGTGCACAAACCTACAATTAGTAAAACCTAATAAGCCTGGATTAACATCATATGCCAAAAAAACTTGACAGTAATTGATAAAACAAGAATTGAAATTACAAAGTCTATATGACTTTTACAGTATTAATGATAAAAGTGATTTGGAGGCCAGGTCTGGTGGCTCATGCCTGTCATCCTAGCACTATGGAGGATTGCTTGAGGCCAGGAGTTCAAGACCAACCTGAGCAATAGCAAGACCCCATCTCTACAAAAAAAAAATTAGAAAAATTAGCCAGGTGTGGTGGCGTGTGCCTGCAGTCCCAACCACTGGGGGGCTGAGGCAGGACAATCACTTGAGCCCAGGAGTTTGAGGTTGCAGTGAGCTATGATGATGCCACTGCACTCTAGCCCCAGCGACAGGGTAAGACCTTGTCTCAAAAAGAAAAAATGTGATTTGGAAAAGAAAGAGTAAAGGCATTAATTTGACAATTATGACTTTTTATTCAAATAGATTTAACTGTAAATATATATTTCCAGAATAAATAATAATCACAATAAAAACACAACTGTATCCAAGTGCCATGCACTAAGCCTCTTTGGAAATACAACAGCACAACACAAGAAACTCCAACACTGACAGTGGCTATAACAATAATTTATCAAGGCTTTATAATACCAAAGACCATAATGGCCTTTCCTCAGCAACATTGCTAAAACACTAAAAAAACAAAACAAAACAAAACTACCTTTTTGGGTTACTTTGTTTTAATCTAGCTCAATTTTTCTGTTCCATTAATACCCTATTCCAGAACAGCCCCAGGTAATGGCCCAATCATTTCTTCAAACTAAAACAGATGTTAGTTTTGTTCTCACCTTCTCCAAGTCACAGATTCTTACTACTTTCCTATTTTGGTGGAGGAGTAATAGTAGCCTGATCATTCAATGAACAAAAAGCCCGAGAATCTTTATAACATCCTGTTAGGGACCATCACCAAGCCTGAGACTTGGGTGACTAATTAGGTTACTGTAGTAGAGAGACCCAACTAAGAAAATACTTGAAATATATACCTCTTGTAGAAAATCTTCAAGAAGCCGATTAAATTTATCTGCCAATTCATCTATCAGTTGACTTCTTGAAATATCTACTCTGTTGAAGATCGTGAACTCTTCATTACAGAGTGCATGGTAAGTTTTAGAACATGCTTCCAAAACATCTGTATCTGTGTGCTTCTCTACGATGTTCCGGATCTGTCGCAATAAGGCATCCAAATGCTGCAAAATAATTTTTTTAAAATCAAAACAAAAGTATATATGATACACATAAAGTGACTGTACCACTATACCACTGCAGAGAAAATTTTCATATGTAATTCTACAATGTAGAGCATACATTTTAAGTGTTTTTCTAGTTGTGGTAACTAAATACAATGATCCATCCATACTTATTTTCTCAATTTTTAACAGGAATAGTATTACCTATCTCACAGGGCTTTGGTAAGAATGTTAATACATATAAAGAGCTTATAATAGTTCCTGGAACACAGTAAAAGTGTTCAATGAATAAGCTGCTTTTGTTTTATAACTGTTATTATCTAGTTACTCACACTCAATCTCTATATACAATCAATGATATTGTCACATACTAAGAATGAGGTATGGCTTGGGCATGAAGCAAATGAAAGCCTCATTAGCACCACTCTCTAAAACGAACTGATCTAAAATACAGAAGATATATAAAACAGGTCTTCTTTCATATTACAAAAACATTTTAAAAATATAAACAAAGTGTATGATGGGATGAACTAAACTAACAATTTCTCTTCAAAGTCTTTTATACACAAATAACAGCTTACCTTTTCTAATCGTCCAGTGGTATATATTTCCAAATCAAAGTACTGAGGCAACTGCAACAAATTAGTCACCTTTTCTGCATCTACAGAGTACTGTGAAATAAAAAGATCATGTTAAAAACATCAAACTGATAAGTAAACTAATATTCTGTGAGGCATTCCAAAAATCCCTATGATTTCTTAGTAACACTATGATGCCAACACAAACTTACTTTTGCTAATAACTGAGGAAGGGCTACAGCAAAAAGTTCCGTGATTTTTGTCCTGTCATCTAACTGGGTCTTCTTCTCCTTCGCTGTCAGCACCTAAAGTAACACAAAAACTTTTATTAACATTTAAGTTCATTAACACTGTTAAGTAATCAAATTTAAATAATACATACAAAATAAATAAAACTGTATTTTAAGTGATGAACACAAAAAATTCTACTGTAAAACTTTAACCCTAAAAATGATACAAAAGAGAATAACTTAAATATTATCAAAAAGCAAAGCCACATGAAAAAAAAAAATCTCAATAGTCCCAGAGGGAAAAATCAATATCCAATTAGAATAACTAACTCTACCTTTGGATGTAAGGAGAATCAATTAGGAATAGGAAATATAGTTTAGGAGCTTATATATAATGGGATTGAGCAGCACTTCTGCTTGCCCCAGAAGATGAGCCATGACACATAAATTATAAATTCAAAATAGTAAGTGACTACAAAGAACTAAAAAAACAGAAATCAAAAACAATTTTTAAACCAAATAAAATAAAAGCATCACATAATTTTCAGTATTGCTTGTGAATTTTGTTTGAGTTATACACAAACACATATATATATGTGTATGCTAGGTCACAAAATAAAAATGTATTTTTGTGCTTCACAATAAAGAGTTTAAGCACCCATGGAACTGTTAGTGTAAATTGCATATACATGTTTCTTTGCAATAATTCATTAAAATCTGATCCCAGGAAATAGGAATTTCCCTATTTTGAAGAATTATCATCTCCATTTTATATTAGAATAAAAAGAAAGCGAATCTATGAATAAACCAAAACACCGAAATGCACCATTCTAAAATGGTATACTACATTCTTTCTTGAAGGCAGGAACTATCAATCACTGTATCACTTGCAGTAACTAACAAAGTCTCTTATCATATAGAAAGAATTCAAATTTCTCAAATTGCTAATGCTTTAAAATTTACTTCTAACACATATTTATAAGCAAAGGTCATCAGAAAAATAAGACATAAGATTTCAAAATTCTTGTTCCATGGTTAAAATAAGACTTTTTAAAAAAAGATAGTGAAAAAAGAGAAATGTAGTTTATAATACTGAAAATACATTGGCATACCCTTTTTCCTGTCCCTCTTCCCACGGGAGGATGACATTCAGCTGCTTGTCTAATAGTACAAAGCATTATTTCAATCAGAGCACTCTCTTGCCTGTCTGTCAGTGCTTAAATAGAAAAAAAATCAGAAAGAGTTAACCTATTTCTTCTCCCTATATGCCACTTGTAATATTACATAACAGTTTCTTCTGCCTGTGAATAGAATTTCACCTAAGGTACTAAAGAAAATCTCATGACTATATCACAGAAAATATCAGAGTAAGTTAAAGCTTCCTAATCCCCTCAGAATTCCAAATCTGTCCATTATGGATCCACACATTTTAGTAAAGAAAATATGATCCCAGATACAAAAACTAAAGAATGTTGACAGCAATTACACTTTTCTACATAGCATGAGATTCGTGCATATGAAGAAAACAAAACTATGCACAAAGTAGGATTTTTTACACTTATGTTAACACTAAAAAAGGTAAAGAGCTTTTTTGAAACTGTTTAGATGGAAAAAATACCGTCATGAGATGTCCTTACCTTCCTCTCCACTAAGTGGCTCCTCCAACAACAGGCTATTCATACATTCCCAGTCTTTCAGCAGCTCGGTAGCACAGTCCCACATGCTATCCACAAGGTATGCTGCATGCTCATGCAACTAAAATTAAAAAAGAGCAATGTGCTCTTAGATAAATAATATACTAGCCTTAACTCTAAAGAATAGAAGCTTTGTTGGCACCATGTGCAAACTTTTACAGCGATCTGTTTTCTCAGGTGAAATGGAAGAAAGGACAGACAAGCAACTGCCTTAGTTTGCTGGGTATAAGTAAGCTTTGTTAGGTAGCATCTTTAAACATTTTTCACAATATTATTAAAACATTAACATGAAAGATTAAATGTATACATACTGCTTATTTGGACCTAATATTACATGAGTTAACTACTCAATTCTTAAACACACTACGAATTTATTTTACCAAAATGGGGGAGTAACAGTGGTTAATTAAAACATAAAATACAGGTTTATTTGTAAATCCAGTATATAAGAAAATCATCCTCTTCATTCAGTAAAGCTTAAAAGACCTTACCTATTCCCAATTCATTTTACGGGATGAGTGTAAACATTATACAAACACTTGTGAAAGACAAATAAAAAATATTATGGACTAATATCCTTCATGAACATAGAATGTCCTCAAAAATTGGCAAACTGAAACCAGCAATATATAAAAAGACTAGACCAAGTAGGGTTTATCCTAGAAATGCAAGGTTGAGAAGACCTTCAAAAAACTCATTTAACACATTAACATAATGAAGAATAAAAATAAAACAATTGGGGCCGGGCACAGTGGCTCACGCCTATAATCCTAGCACTCTGGGAGGCCAAAGCAGAAGGATCACCTGAGCTCAGGAGTTTGAGATCAGCCTGAGCAAGAGTGAGACCCCGTCTCTACTAAAAATAGAAAAAATTAACTGGGCGTGGCAGAGCGCAGCCGGTTGTCTCAGGAACTCATAGTCTCAGTAACTCGGGAGGCTGGGGCAGGAGGATTGCTTGAGCCCAGGAGTTTTGAGGTTGCTGTGAGCTAGGCTGACCCCATGGCACTCTAGCCCGGGTGACAGAGCAAGACTCTGTTTCAAAAATAAATAAATAAAACAATCATCTCAAGGAATGTAGAAAAATCATTTTACAGAATTCAACATCCATCCATGATAGAACCTCTCAGCAAAATAAGTGATATAAGGAAACATCCTCAATCTGATAATAACTATCTATATAACACCCACGGCTAACAATTAATGTTGAAATACTGGATGCTTTTCCCATAAGATCAGGAGTAATTCAAAGATATCTGTTCAACATTCTACTGGAGGTCTACTGGAAGTCTTAGGCAGTTCAATAAGGCAAGAAAAAAAATTGAAAAAACTGTTAGAAAGGAAAAGATAAAATTATCTTTATTTGCAAATAACTTGATTATATATTGCAGAAAATCCTAAAGCATCTAATTAAAAAATTACTAAATAAGTGAATTTAGCCAAGTTGCAGAATAGGTCAATTCAATAATCAAAAACCAATTATAGGGCCGGGCGCTGTGGCTCACGCCTGTAATCCTAGCTCTTGGGAGGCCGAGGCGGGCGGATTGCTCAAGGTCAGGAGTTCAAAACCAGCCTGAGCAAGAGCGAGACCCGTCCTACTATAAACAGAAAGAAATTAATTGCCAACTGATATATATATAAAAAAAATTAGCCGGGCATAGTGGCGCATGCCTGTAGTCCCAGCTACTCGGGAGGCTGAGGCAAGGATCACTCGAGCCCAGGAGTTTGGAGGTTGCTGTGAGCTAGGCTGACGCACGGCACTCACTCTAGCCTGGACAACAAAGTAAGACTCTGTCTCAAAAAAAAAAAAAAAAACAATTATATATCTACAGAAAGGATTAGACAATTAAAAGGCCCTAACACTAATTAAATAATATGATATGAACACCAAAAATAAATTTTGAGCTCTCTCAAATCTGATTAGCAAGTTAGATTTTTCAACTTGAGACTGATATAAATCCACCTCTACAACAATAGAAATAACAGCAGGTACCAACATTTGAGAACTTACAATGTGCTAGGTCTGTTAAAAGTTTTATACAGGTTATCTCAGTGTTATCTGAGATTTATAACCCATCTTTCTTTAATAGGAAACTGAAGCTAGAAAGATAAAGTAACTAAACCAAAGTTACAAACTGTAAGCAGAGGACCCTAATTGATTATCAGGTTTTTCTGATTCAAAATTCATATTCTCAGCACTATACATAAATCCTATTGTTTGAAGACCTTACTAAAAAGTAGAAGGTATATTTTAAAGATTTTGTTGTATCAGTATATCTCCAATCTATTTAAAATTTACTGTGTTACATGGAAGATGTTAAGATGTACCTCATTTTAACACCCTTCTCCAAAATTTTTGAACATAACTATAAAATAAACAATACAACTAACCTCACTTTCTAGAAAGAAAAAACCAATGTCTTAACCAGGTTGGCATTTGGACCTTGTCTTCCCTTCTTTCATCATTCCATCATCCTCTGGATCTCTACGACTGAAGAGCCTATGAACAAAGTAAAAATATTTATTATAAAATAACAAAAAACCCTATTTCTTAATCAAAAAATTAACTGTCCGGATTCCATATATAAACATTAATAACAAAGGAGTAAAAGGGAAGGTACAATACTGTCCAACATCGAGCAACAATTGCTATAAACCTTTTTCATTTCATCCTTGCTGGTACTTCTAAGTCCTTTTAAACTAACTTCTCAAGTTAACTATAATGAGTTATAAATTATTTCTTTTGAAAAACCTTACTGCATTTTATACAACTGTTTCCATTCATAAAGTAGTACACTAACCTGCACTATTTATGCACAAAAATCTATGATATATATTTTTCTTTAAAACGAAATGTATCTTTTCCTTCTATCCTTATTGCCAAACTATCCCAACTTAGTGTTCTTTTTCTATGGATAGCATGACTGTTCTTTTTTTTTTTGAGACAGAGTCTCACTTTGTTGCCCAGGCTAGAGTGAGTGCCGTGGCATCAGCCTGGCTCACAGCAACCTCAATCTCCGGGACTCAGCGATCCTACTGCCTCAGCCTCCCGAGTAGCTGGGACTACAGGCATGCGCCACCATGCCGGCTAATTTTTTTTTTTTGTATATATATTTTAGTTGGTCAAGTTAACGTTCTATTTTTGGTAGAGACGGGGTCTCGCTCAGGCTGGTTTCGAACTCCTGACCTTGAGCAATCCACCCGCCTCAGCCTCCCAAAGTGCTAGGATTACAGGCGTGAGCCACTACGCCCGGCTGCATGACTGTTCTGTCTCATAAACAACAAAAGAGAATTAACACTGGATAGTGATTAATAGAAAACTGTAAAGTGAATGTTTTACACCACCTACTCTTTCTAAAAAATGTTGTACCCCAAACAGGCATTTTAATAAAATCTTACAAAAAATCAAAGTTTAATACAAGTGGTTCAAAATGTTCTCTTTGAAAGCCATCACAGAACATTCACTGAATGTTTTCTGTGATCAAACATTTACACTGTTATCCATACTACCTGACATGTTAAATATCATCATAAAAGTAAAAGGATTGTATGATTCTTGCAATATTAAGTACTTGAAGCAGAACCTTCTAATATTTTCTAAAGCAAAGGAAAATTAAGTTGAAGACTAAAAATTGTAGTATAGGCAATATTTTAAAGTTGAAGTAGGTGAAAAGAAGAGCAAACAATTAGGAAGAGGTTAATCTTAATATTATAATATAGTTAGGTATCTTTTTAAGCATGTCCATTAAAATACATGAGTATATTTTCCTTTAAAGATCTAACTTAAACAGGGAGGGTGGGAATGGGGTAAGGGATAAAAATGTACCTACTAGGTACAACATTCACAACTCTGGTGATGGGCACACTAAAAGCCCTGACTTCAGCATTATTCAGTTCATCCATCTAACAAAAATACTTATACCTCCTTAATATTTTTGGGAAAAAACAATTAAATTAAATTTTTTAAAATCTAACTTTAATAAATCAAAGAACTTGGAGAAGAGAAATCTAAACTTTTATTTTTGTTTTTAATTTTTTGCTTTTCTTTTTTTAAAATTTATTTCTTCTTTTATATTCTATTTTTTTCTTTTTTTTTTACTCTAACACCTTTTATCATCATTCCCAAGAAATCTAAACTTTTAGGGAAATAGTAAATAAAATGTGAAAGTTTCAATTTGACCTGTACTATTTTTTAAAAGTTTTTAAATATAGTTTTTAATATCAAGTATAAGATAATAAACTACTGGCCAGGCCCGGTGGCTCACGCTTGTAATCCTAGCACTCCGGGAGGCCGAGGCAGGAGGATAGTTTGAGCTCAGGAGTTCAAAACCAGCCTGAGCAAGAGCGAGACCCCATCTCTACTAAAAATAGAAAGAAATTAACTGGCCAACTAAAAATATATAGAAAAAATTAGCCGGACATGGTGGTACATGCCTGTTGTCCCAGCTACTCGGGAGGCTGAGGCAGGAGGATTGCTTGAGCCCAGGAGTTTGAGGTTGCTGTGAGCTAGGCTGACGCCACAGCACTCTAGCCCAGGCAACAGAGTGAGACTCTGTCTCGATAGATAGATAGATAGATAGATAGATAGATAGATAGATAGATAGATAGATAGATAGATAGATAGATAGATAGATTAAAAAAAGATAATAAACTACTGCTATGAAAGTATACTATAGAAAATGAATAGCAGAAATACAGACTTACTTTTTGTAGAGAAATTCTCCAGCTGCTACTGCTACTGGCCGGTGAGCTGAATAAACCAGATGATAGACATTTTCACAATCTTCTGCAGTAAGAACTTCTTCACTACTCCTAAAAAGAAATTAGTAAAAGGTGTTTTTTTAAAGTAATGTCATAATTCTAAATGTCTTAAGAGTATAAAAATTCACACTCATAGATTTTTTAAAAACTGTAAACTCTCACAGAGTTGTGTTAGAGAAAAAAGTAAAGAAACCAACTTTACTTATTGTTTGCCAGTAAAAGCTTACCCCAACCAAAAGAACTGAATACTGTATTAAGATCAAAGATAAAAAATAGCAAGTAAAATTAAGAGTGAATACAGAACGTAAAAAAATGAATGTTTAACAGAATAATGTGACATAGATGCCAAAGAGAAAGGAAGACAAAACTAATGCAGAAAGTGGCAGCATGCTAAGAATTTAGAGTTAATAATCACAGATAACACTGCATATATTTCTTAGTAATATTAAGGAACACAATATCACGTTAAAATATACTAATGCCTTTACCTCACACTGATACTTCATCTATCATGTACTGAATACCACATAAGGCAATATAAGTGGATTTTCCAAATAATTAAAACTTAAGTGACAAAGATCTTTAATTCTAATCTATCATTGGAAAAATCTTACTAAAATGTAGTGCTCATTTTCCTGATCTTATGTCTGAGAACACTGCATAGATAGTTGAAGAACACAGATCCTTTTTACTTTCTGGTTTTCTGCTGTACTAAAGGTTTCCAGAACTCTGATGTCAAAAAAATGTTACTTCTTTTTCAGAGAAAAAGAAACTACATTGTTAAAATTCAAGTTTCAAAGCACTTTGATTTAAATTACTCTATGTATAATACTTTATTGTTTTGGAAAAACCACTGTGTCTTTCTATAACCAAAACTTTGAATCAACCAGTTAAAGTAGTACAAATCTATGGTAACTCATTCATTTTAACTTTTTGAGAAGGAACATTCCTAACAAGTTTCAATTATTAGGTATATACCCAGCTGAAAAATCAACATAAATGTCTCTATTATTACCTTTAATAAAAATATCAGAAACAGTAAGGTATTCATAGTATATTATGGAGGACGGGGGAAGCTACAGAAATATATTCAGAGTACTATTCTTATTTCAGAATTGTTTCTGTATCTTTACATGTGTTGTTTATAATTTTAAATCCAATTAAAAATTAAGGAAACATGCAATAGTTAATAGACTGCTCAAAAAGCCCCTACATAAGTGTATTCTCCAAAAATGTCAATATATCTGAAACTGCCTTCTTTTTAATTACTGCAAAATAGTCTATTTCATATAAATGGGGATAATAACCACCATATCACTGGGCTGCTATATTAAATGAGATAATCCACATAAAGTGCTTATATTATCTATTATTTCACATACTAATTTAATTCTTCATCTACTGACAATCATCTCAGTTGTTTTCAAAATTCTGCTATTACCGCGGTGCTTCCAGCCTGTAATCCTAGCACTTTGGGAGGTCAAGGCAGGAGAATCACTTGAGACCACGAGTTCAAAACCAGCCTGGGCAACACAGCCAGACTCTTTCACTACAAAAAATACAAAAATCAGCCAGGCATGTTGGCACATGCCTGTAGCCCAACTACTCAGGAGGCTTAGGCAGGAAGATAACTTGAGCCCAAGCGTTTGAGGTTGCAGGGAGCTATGATGACACCATTGCACTCTAGTCCAGGCAATAGAGACCTTGTCTCAAAAATAAAGGAAAAAAAAAAAACTGCTATTGTAAACAAATGCTGTGTTACAGAACACAAATGTTTTAAAATTTGATAGACACTGCCAATTTTCTCCAAGGAACTTAAACCAAATTATACTCTCATTAACTATAAATGGGCCTATTTCAGCATAGCCTCAATAACATAGTATATTATCAAACACTTTTTATCTTTGCCAAGCAAATAGGTAAAACAAATAGTCTCAATTTAAAATGTATGTCTTTATGTGTGGCTGAACATCTTCTCTTAAGTTTAAATTTCTATTTTATTTTCCCTCAATTATCTGATCCATAACATTTGACTACTTTCCTACTGGGCTTCTGGTCTTTTAATTGATTTGCAGAAACTTATCCCTTTGATGCAAATATTTCACCCAATCTGACATTATCTTTCTTTTTTGAAATATTAAGCTGATATTTGCTTTCAGAGTTTGTTTATGGCACTTTATGCCATACAGATATTTTTATTTGTAATGTGGTTAATTCATTGATCTTTTTATGTCTAGGTTTTATGTCATGTTAGAAAACTTTTTGTGCAATCATTTTACACATAAAATAAAAATTTTAACTCTTCCCACATTTTCAACTAGTGCTTTTATGGTTCCATTTATTAGCATTTAAATAGTTCTTCCATCTGCAAATTATTTTGGGTTAAGGAATGTAACAGGAGCCCCATTTTACTTTTCCCCCAAATACAAATTGTCACAAAAACATTTATTGACTGTACTTCTGACAGGAAATGCCACCTTCATCTTATACTAGAATTCTACACGTATTTATGTTTGGTTCTACTCCACTGATCTTTTTGTCTATTCATGTACCGAGACCATAATTAAAATTACTACAGTTTTTTTTATAATTTCATATTTTATCTTTTAAAAAATACTATGGCTTTACAATATAACTTAAAATCATGTTGGACTAGTCCTTACTCATTAGTTTTTAATATATTCTGCTGGCTACTCTTACACAGTAATTTTTCCATATGAGTGTCAGAATTAGCTTTCTATGGTTAAAAAAATACTCTGTCATTATTATTTGGATTGTGTTAAATATACATATATAGTGAAATAATAAATCTTTAAATATTGAGTTTTCTTAAGGTAAGCTTTCCAAATTTAAGTATTTTTTATGTTCCTTACTTGCATTTTATTTTATTTATTTATTTTTTTTGAGACAGAGTCTCACTTTGTTGCCCAGGCTAGAGTGAGTGCTGTGGTGTCAGCCTAGTTCACAGCAACCTCAAACTCCTGGGCTCAAGCGATCCTACTGCCTCAGCCTCCTGAGTACCTGGGACTACAGGCATGTGCCACTATGCCCGGCTAATTTTTTCTATATATATATATATCAGTTGGCCAATTAACTTCTTTCTATTTATGGTAGAGATGGGGTCTTGCACTTGCTCAGGCTGGTTTCGAACTCCTGACCTGGAGCAATCCACCTGCCTCAGCCTCCCAGAGTGCTAGGATAACAGGCGTGAGCCACCGCGCCTGGCTACATTTTATTAATGTTTCTTCATATACATCTGGTGGATTGCTTATTACTAGGTGTTTTTATAAAATATTTAATTTTGAAAAAAGATTTTGATTTTAAGAGGCCTAACATACCACCCAAGTGATTAGAATGGAGACGGCACTTGATAAATATTTATTTTAAAAAGCAGAAAAGAAATGTTGGTGAGGATGTAGAAAAACTGGAACTCTTGTACATTGCTGGTGGGAATGTAAAATGGCACAACTGCTATGAAAAACAATGTGGCAGTCCCCTCCCCCAAAATTGAATAGGATACCATATGATCTAGGAATTCCACCTCTGGGCATACACAAAACAATTGAAAGCAGGGACTTAAACAGATACTTGCACACTCATGCGCATAGCAGTGCCATTCACAATTGTCAAAAGGTAGAATGGGCCCAAACTCATTCAGGGATGAATGATTAAACAAAACGTGGTATACACACATACAATGAAACATTATTCAGCCATAAAAAGGAACAAAATTCTGATACATGCACTATAATATTGATGAACCTTGAAGACATTCTGAATGAAATAAGCCAGACACAAATGGACAAATATTTTATGATTCCACTTATATGAAATAGGAAAATTCACAGAGCCAGAAAAGAACCAGTGGTTAACAGGGTCGGGGGTAAGGGAGTAGTGGGGAGTTAGTGTTTAATAGGTACAGAGTTCCAGAGATGGATAGCAGTAGCAGTTGCACAATAATGTGAATACACATAATGCCACTAAACCATATATATGGACACATACTCGAAAATGGTTAAAAAGTGGTAAATTTTATGTTTTCCATATTTTATCACAAATTTTTAAAAAGTAAAAAAATGAATAACATCATTTCTAGATATGAGTATATCAAATAGTAGACATAGTTGAATATGTCTTCAATTAAGATTGTTTATAGGTACTAACAGAAACAGAAGTTTTAGTAAATGCTCATACTCTAAATGTGTGATAAAATATAATAAGCACATTTTTAGTTTCAAGAGCATCAAAAACAGTAAAATAGGAAGGAAACTGGCCAAGAGAATGGGAACACATGAATTCCTTGCTCAGTTAGAATTTCACAGGTTCTATGTTTCCTTCTTCCTATGTTTTCTCAACTTTACATGAGGAAACTTCTAGCTGTACAATCACGCAATTTAAGCTATTAAAATTTAGAACTAGATGATTTGGAAGCAAGTACTCTAATCTATTATTTAGATATCTGCGCATTAGTTCAGATATGTAACAAATACATACTTACTGTAAAACAAGAGTGAGTAATTTTATTGCTTGTACTGCAACATCATACTCTTTGTCAAGGGTCATAGACACAATTCTATCCTAAGGACAAAAAAAATCAAAATATTTTTTAAAAAGAAAGCAAGAGAAAAAATATTTTCAAATTATAGGTAATTTTTAAATACTTCAAGTAATACTAACCTTGAACCGACTGGTAAAAAGCTCCAGTTTGGAATTCAGCTCTTTGTTATAATAAAGCCCTTGTAGAGCAGTAAGACATTTGAGTCTTACTTCACCTTGCTAAAAAAAAAAAAAAAAAAAAAAAACAGGCTAGAGTGAGCCGTGGCATCAGCCTGGCTCACAGCAACCTCAATCTCCGGGACTCAGCGATCCTACTGCCTCAGCCTCCCGAGTAGCTGGGACTACAGGCATGCGCCACCATGCCGCTAATTTTTTTTTTGTATAATATATTTTAGTTGGTCAATTAATTTTTCTATTTTGGTAAGACGGGTCTCGCTCAGGCTGGTTCGAATCCTGACCTTGAGCAATCCACCGCCTCAGCTCCAAAGTGCTAGGATTACAGGCGTGAGCCACTACGCCCGGCTGCATGACTGTTCTGTCTCATAAACAACAAAAGAGATTAACACTGGATAGTGATTAATAGAAAACTGTAAAGTGAATGTTTTACACCACCTACTCTTTCTAAAAATGTTGTACCCCAAACAGGCATTTTATAAAATCTTACAAAAATCAAAGTTTAATACAAGTGGTTCAAAATGTTCTCTTGAAAGCCATCACAGAACATTCACTGAATGTTTTCTGTGATCAAACATTTACACTGTTATCCATACTACCTGACATGTTAAATATCATCATAAAGTAAAAGGATTGTATGATTCTTGCAATATTAAGTACTGAAGCAGAACTCTAATATTTTAAAGCAAAGGAAAATTAAGTTGAAGACTAAAAATTGTAGTATAGGCAATATTTTAAAGTTGAAGTAGGTGAAAAGAAGAAGCAAACAATTGAAGAGGTTAATCTTAATATTATATATGTTAGGTATTTTTAAGCATGTCCATTAAATAATGAGTATATTTTCCTTTAAAGATCTAACTTAAACAGGGAGGGTGGGAATGGGGTAAGGGATAAAAATGTACCTACTAGGTACAACATTCACAACTCTGGTGATGGGCACACTAAAAGCCCTGACTTCAGCATTATTCAGTTCATCCATCTACACAAAAATACTTATACCTCCTTAATATTTTTGGGAAAAACAATTAAATTAAATTTTTTAAAATCTAACTTTAAAATCAAAGAACTTGGAGAAGAGAATCTAAACTTTTATTTTTGTTTTAATTTTGCTTTCTTTTTTTAATTTATTTTCTTTTATTTCTATTTTTCTTTTTTTTACTCTAACACCTTTTATCATCATTCCCAAGAAATCTAAACTTTTAGGAATAGTAAATAAAATGTGAAAGTTTCAATTTGACCTGTACTATTTTAAAGTTTTAATATAGTTTTTAATAATCAAGTATAAGATAATAAACTACTGGCCAGGCCCGGTGGCTCACGCTTGTATCCTAGCACTCCGGAGCCGAGGCAGGAGGATAGTTTGCGCTCAGGAGTTCAAAACCAGCCTGAGCAAGAGCGAGACCCATCTCTACTAAAATAGAAAGAAATTAACTGGCCAACTAAAAATATATAAAATTAGCCGGACATGGTGGTACATGCCTGTTGTCCAGCTACTCGGGAGGCTGAGGCAGGAGGATTGCTTGAGCCCAGGAGTTTGAGGTTGCTGTGAGCTAGGCTGACGCCACAGCACTCTAGCCCAGGCAACAGAGTGAGATCTGTCTCGATAATGAAGATAGATAGAGATAGATAGATAAGATAGACAGAAGACAGAAGATAGATAGATTAAAAGAGTAATAAACTACTGCTTGAAAGTATACTATAGAAATGAATAGCAGAAATACAGACTTACTTTTTTGTAGAGAAATTCCCAGCTGCTACTGCTACGGCCGGTGAGCTGAATAAACCAGATGATAGACATTTTCACAATCTTCTGCAGTAAGAACTTCTTCACTACTCTAAAAAGAAATTAGTAAAAGGTGTTTTTTAAGTAATGTCATAATTCTAAATGTCTTAAGAGTATAAAAATTCACCACTCATAGATTTTTAAAAACTGTAAACTCTCACAGAGTTGTGTTAGAGAAAAAAGTAAAGAAACCAACTTTACTTATTGTTGCCAGTAAAAGCTTACCCAACAAAAGAACTGAATACTGTATTAAGATCAAAGATAAAAATAGCAAGTAAATTAAGGGAATACAGAACGTAAAAAATGAATGTTTAACAGAATAATGTGACATAGATGCCAAGAGAAAGGAAACAAAACTAATGCAGAAAGTGGCAGCATGCTAAGAATTTAGAGTTAATAATCACAATAACACTGCATATATTCTTAGTAATATTAAGGAAACAATATCCCGTTAAAATTATAATGCTTTACCTCACACTGATACTTCATCTATCATGTACTGAATACCACATAAGGCAATATAAGTGGATTTCACATAATTAATTAAGACAAATCAGATTCTAATCTATCATTGGAAAAATCTTACTAAAATGTAGTGCTCATTTTCCTGATCTTATGCTGAGCAACTGCATAGATAGTTGAAGAACACAGATCCTTTTTACTTTCTGGTTTTGCTGTACTAAAGGTTTCCAGACTCTGATGTCAAAAAATGTTCCTTCTTTTCAGAGAAAAAGAACTACATTGTTAAAATTCAGTTTCAAAGCACTTTGATTTAAATTACTCTATGTATAATACTTTATTGTTTTGGAAAACCACTGTGTCTTTCTATAACAAAACTTTGAATCAACCAGTTAAAGTAGTACAAATCTATGGTAACTCATTCATTTTAACTTTTGAGAAGGAACATTCCTAACAAGTTTCAATTATTAGGTATATACCAGCTGAAAATCAACATAAATGTCTCTATTATACCTTTAATAAAAATATCAGAAACATAAGGTATTCATAGTGATTATGGAGGATGGGGAAGCTACAGAAAATATATCAGAGTGCTATTCTTATTTCAGAATTGTTTCTGTATCTTACATGTGTTGTTATAATTTTAATCCAATTAAAAATTAAGAAACATGCAATAGTTAATAGACTGCTAAACCCTACATATCATGTATCTCCAAAATGTCAATATATCTGAAACTGCCTTCTTTTTAATTACTGCAAAATAGTCTATTCATATAAATGGGATAATAACCACCATATCACTGGCTGCTATATTAAATGAGATAATCCACATAAAGTGCTTATATTATCTATTATTTCACAATACTAATTTAATCTTCATCTACTGACAATCATCTAGTGTTTTCAAAATTCTGCTATTACGCGTGCTTCCAGCCTGTAATCCTAGCACTTGGGAGGTCAAGGCAGGAGAATCACTTGAGACCACAAGTTCAAAACCAGCCTGGGCAACACAGCCAGACTCTTTCACTACAAAAAATACAAAAATCAGCCCAGGCATGTTGGCACATGCCTGTAGCCCAACTACTCAGGAGTCTTAGGCAGGAGATAACTTGAGCCCAAGCGTTTGAGGTTGCAGGAGCTATGATGACACCATTGCACTCTAGTCCAGGCAATAGAGACCTTGTCAAAAATAAAGAAAAAAAAACGCTATTGTACAAATGTGTGTTACAGAACACAAATGTTTTAAAATTGATAAGACACTGCCAATTTTCTCCCAAGGAACTTAACAAAATTATACTCTCATTAACTATAAATGGGCCTATTTCAGCATAGCCTCAATAACATAGTATTTATAAACACTTTTTATCTTTGCCAAGCAAATAGGTAAAAAAAATAGTCTCAATTTAAAATGTATGTCTTTATGTGTGGCTGAACATCTTATTTAAATTTCTATTTTATTTTCCCTCAATTATCTGATCCATAACATTTGACTACTTCCTACTGGGCTTCTGGTCTTTAATTGATTTGCAGAAACTTATCCCTTTGATGCAAATATTTCACCCAATCTGACATTATCTTTCTTTTTGAAATATTAAGCTGATATTGCTTTCAGAGTTGTTAATGGCACTTTATGCCATACAGATATTTTTATTTGTAATGTGGTTAATCCATTGATTTTTTATGTCTAGGTTTTATGTCATGTTAGAAACTTTTTGTGCAATCATTTTACACATAAAATAAAAATTTAACTCTTCCCACATTTTCACATATATATCTACAGAAAGGATTAGACAATTAAAAGGCCCTAACACTAATTAAATAATATATGATATGAACACCAAAAATAAATTTTGAGCTCTCTCAAAATCTGATTAGCAAGTTAGATTTTTCAACTTGAGACTGATATAAATCCACCTCTACAACAATAGAAATAACAGCAGGTACCAACATTTGAGAACTTACAATGTGCTAGGTCTGTTAAAAGTTTTACACAGGTTATCTCAGTGTTATCTGAGAATTTATAACCCATCTTTCTTTAATAGGAAACTGAAGCTAGAAAGATAAAGTAACTAAACCAAAGTTATACAAACTGTAAGCAGAGGACCCTAATTGATTATCAGGTTTTTCTGATTCCAAAATTCATATTCTCAGCACTATACATAAATCCTATTGTTTGAAGACCTTACTAAAAAAGTAGAAGGTATATTTTAAAGATTTTGTTGTATCAGTATATCTCCAATCTATTTAAAATTTACTGTGTTACATGGAAGATGTTAAGATGTACCTCATTTTAACACCCTTCTCCAAAATTTTTTGAACATAACTATAAAATAAACAATACAACTAACCTCACTTTCTAGAAAGAAAAAAACCAATGTCTTAACCAGGTTGGCATTTGGACCTTGTCTTCCCCTTCTTTTCATCATTCCATCATCCTCTGGATCTCTACGACTGAAGAGCCTATGAACAAAGTAAAAATATTTATTATAAAATAACAAAAAACCCTATTTCTTAATCAAAAAATTAACTGTCCGGATTCCATATATAAACATTAATAACAAAGGAGTAAAAGGGAAGGTACAATACTGTCCAACATCGAGCAAACAATTGCTATAAACCTTTTTCATTTCATCCTTGCTGGTACTTCTAAGTCCTTTTAAACTAACTTCTCAAGTTAACTATAATGAGTTATAAATTATTTCTTTTGAAAAACCTTACTGCATTTTATACAACTGTTTCCATTCATAAAGTAGTACACTAACCTGCACTATTTATGCACAAAAATCTATGATATATATTTTTCTTTAAAACGAAATGTATCTTTTCCTTCTATCCTTATTGCCAAACTATCCCAACTTAGTGTTCTTTTTCTATGGATAGCATGACTGTTCTTTTTTTTTTTTGAGACAGAGTCTCACTTTGTTGCCTAGGCTAGAGTGAGTGCCGTGGCATCAGCCTGGCTCACAGCAACCTCAATCTCCGGGACTCAGCGATCCTACTGCCTCAGCCTCCCGAGTAGCTGGGACTACAGGCATGCGCCCACAGCCGGCTAATTTTTTTTTTTTTGTATATATATTTTAGTTGGTCAATTAATTTATTTCTATTTTTGGTAGAGACGGGGGTCTCGCTCAGGCTGGTTTCGAACTCCTGACCTTGAGCATCCACCCGC